AAGACTTCCCTACTATATATATAATTATTATTATATATATATATATATATATATATAGAGAGAGAGAGAGAGAAAAAAAAAAGCTTCAGTGAGCCCATTGGCTCATGGAACAGTATAAGCCCAACGGCCCAGATTGAATTTGGACCGATCCAATGATCACAATTATATTTCATAATTGAATTTTCTTTTTTTTACGAAACTAAATTACTTGAAATTGGAGCGTCTAGTCTTCAAGAATAGTAAAATCTAATAAAAATATCAAAAAATAATTTACATATATTAAATTGATCAAAATCCTTTGAAAAGTTTTGGGGGTATTTTGGTCAATTTATTTATGTGAATTAATAATATTTTTATTAGGTTCACCTTGATGAGAAGAGGTTATGCTCCAAATTTCATACTATTTGTATTTATATAAAATATATTAAAATTATATTACGATATACAGTCCTGATCGTCAGATCGGCCTAGATTCAATCTGGGTCATTGGGCTTATACTATTCCATGAGCTAGTGGGTTCACCCTTGCATCTTTCATATATGAAAGTGTTGAGATTAGCCCGCTAGCTCATATGAACATATTGTTGGTATATTAGGGAAGCGATGAAACCCACTCTTAGGATTACTGGCAGCATCGTGAGACTGAGGATCGCAGAGTGAAGGGCTTCCCAGAGCAATGAGAACTCTCTGTGTGTTGCATCTTCATGGTCATGAATGGCCTAATTATAGAGGATGGAGGAGTCGTTCTCCAATGTTTGGCTTTTTCTTTAAAACACTTAAAAGTAGCCCTGTAATCTTGGGATGTGGGTGGTTATTTTCTGCCCGTTGGATAACGACACTTTCTCTCTCTAAGAAGGGCCCTTATTTAGTGATAAACATAATATTTATGATAAAGATTAAAGAGAGAAAAATAACAAGTATGACGCCTCATGACCACCCATATGTACCAACATCTCCCACTTGGCCATGAAGGCTAGATATATTGATATAATACTACTTAATGAGCATATCCTTGTTATGAGGATTTTCACACTTGTGCGGCGACACATCTCATAACAAAAAATATCTAAAGTCATGTCATGAGTTTTTCACGCTATTGCGGCTATGTGTTTCACGCTAATGCGGCTTTTCCTCTCATGACTAAGACATCAAAGAAAAATATCTCATTTGGGAGTTCCTGACTTAAATATTTTTAAGTCCCATCAAAACTATATGCTTTGATAATATTTTTGCACTCAATCCCTTTGTTAAAGGGTCTGTAATCATATCTTAAGATGGTAAATAACTTATAGTTATTTTATTCTTTTCAATAATATCATAAATGTGATGATAATCAATTTTAATGTGCTTACCCTTAAAACTATAAGCTCCATTTCTAATTGATGAGATATCAGCCTGATTATAACAAAAAAATTTAATAAGTCTATCAGCTATATCCAGCTTCAAATCATTTATGAAACGTTTAATCCATACGACATAAGTTGTAACAATGCTACAAGCAATATACTCGGTTTTCATAATATACCGAGCTACACAACCTTGTTTATTGCTAGACCAAGAAATACATCCACCTCCAAAGAGGAATACATATCCTGAGGTTAATTTTCTATCATCTAGGTCTCCTGCAAGTTTGCATCAGAGTACCTAGTAACCTCTAAGTTGTCAGCTTGGAAGCACAACTCGTAATTTATAGTTTTCTGAATATATCTGAGTATCTTTTTTATGGGTAGCCAATGAGCCATCTCAAGATTACTTTGAAATCTACTATGTATGACTCAAATCAGGTCTTGTACACAACATGATATAATTTATGCACCATATAGCTTGAGCATATGAAATTCTCTCCATTTTAGCTTTGTCATTATCATTTACTGGACATATTTTCTTTGACAATTTTAAGCCTTTACAAACTGGTATATCTATGGTTTGCAATTTTCTATCTTAAATCTCTTTAAAATACTTTCTAAATAATTTTTTTGAGATAAACTTAGAAGTCTTAAACTTCTATCTCTTGTTATTTTAATGCCTAATACATATGAGGCTTCTCCCATATCTTTCATCTCAAAATGAGAATTTAGTCATGATTTGGTATGGTTAATCATGCCAATATCATTATCGGCTATCAAAATATCATCTACATACAGTGATAATATAACAAAATTGCCCCCACTATTTCAGACATATACACAATGGTCTAACCTATTGGCTACATAACCAATTTCAGTGATTGCATTATGAAAAGTAAAGTACCGTTGCCTAGAAGATTGTTTAAACCATATAAAGATTTCTTAAGCTTGTATACTTTGTCTTCTTGGCCTTTAATTAAATATCTTTCTAGTTGTTGCATGTATATGTCTTCTTTTAATTTTCTATTTAAAAAAGCTGTTTTGACATCCATCTGAAATAATTCTAGATCATAATATGCAACTAATGTTAGGATGATCCTAATAGATGAAAATTTTGCTACTAGAGAATAAGTCTCTACATAATCTATACCCTCCTTTTGGGTAAATCCTTTAGCTACCAACCTAGATTTATATTTGTCAATGGATCCATTGGCATTAAGCTTTTTCTTTAGAACCCATTTGCAACCGATGGCTTTTCTATCTTTAGGGAGGTCAACCAACTCCCAAACTTGATTTTTTTAAATAGAATCAAGTTCATCATTCATGGCTTAAGTCCACTCAGCAGAGTCATGTGAGCTAATAACTTCACTGTAGCTTCGAGGTTCATCTATTGTATCCTCACTCATTCAAGAATAATTATCTTCATTCATAAATACATAAAATTTTTCTAAAGTTGTAGGTGGGGCTCTAGTTCTTTTAGGTATGTATGGTATACTTGATTCAATTGAATCATTCTCACCAAATATAGAGGCAGTCTGAGAAACAGGGCCTTCC